GCGTGAAAGTCTCTCCTGAATGCTTAGGCCAGGTGCCCAGCGACGAGATTAAGTGCAGGCCTTTCCCTGTCCATACCCTCCAAGTGCTCAACATCCAAAGCAAGGGTTGATGAGGTGACCTGTGAGGCGAATCTGGTTCTCCTCTGTTTTACTAAATAAAGTGTATTATCTAGGTATTATCTGTGGCTGCTTTTGTGCTACAGCAGCAGAGTTGAGTGGTTGCCATAGACACTGTATGGCCAGCAAAGCTTAAAATATTGCCTATCTGGCCCTTTAAGGAAAACATTTGCTGACTTCGCATCTAAAAGAAGAGACAGATACATGAAGAATAAAATATTCCCTCAAAACATGCTAAAGGCAGCAGTATGAACAGAACATTATGTGAGCATCAAAAGGAAAGCTATGAACACACGCACACACACACACACACACTCTGACATATACACATGTACCTCCCCACCTCCCTCCGTGCACACCCACATCTGTCATTCACGTGCATGGTCTCATTTCATCCTCACAGCAGCTTTATTAGGCATATAGATTAGTTCAAACTTAAAACTTTGCCACTTGCTAGCTGAGTGGTTTTGGGGTGATTTACTTAACTTCTCTGTGCCTTTCTTGCTAAACATGAGTAATGCTACCTATAGATCACAGGGTCACAGGAAGGATTAAGCGAAGGCCTAGCCTCTAATACATAGTAAGCAATATGTGAATAGTTATTATTTACCCCCACTTTCCAGAAGAGTAAACTAAAGGACAGAGAGGTTGAGTAATTTTGTTAAGGCCACACAGGCAGAAAAAGGTAGATGCAGAACTTAATCTCAGCTCTAACTCCAAACCTGGGCTTTTTACCAGTTATGATATTGCTTCTCAATAATAAAGGCTTATTGAGTATATAAATACAATCACCACAATAAATTTTCTTTATCTTTTCCAACAATTCTTTTTATTTTTTAAATTATAATTTGTGGTTTATTTATTGGCAGACCCTAAAGATCTCTTGTGTGAGATCTGAAAGAGTTTTATTTAAATTCACTATATTCACACCCAGTTGGCTGTTCTTTGAAGTCATGACTAGTTTTATTACTAAAATAATTATATTCATAGCTTTAAAAGCAAAGCTTTTGCTAGTAATCTATATAATAATGTTCAAGTAATTTTAAATACAGAATAGTACTTTTAAATACTAAGCTCTAGATAAGTGATTTGGTATGATTGTATTCCTCTAAGAATATACCAAAGTGGCGTTTCCCATATGGTTTTCATAAAGCCAGTTTATCTGGCCCTTAGCATTCAGCTGAATTAAAACAAATAAGTACCATCAGTGTGTGGATTGGCTCTACGGGAAAAGCCACCATCTCCTGAAACACCTACATCTTATCTCCAGATTACTCTTTGGCAGAGAAATACTATAGTAATATCTTGCTGAAAAAAAGCTACTATTTAAAGAATTATATGTCAATAAAGAGAAAAGGTCAGTGTCCACTTGATTGTACATATGATTTTGAGCTTCTTAGAAAAGTATTTTTCATGATGACAATGCTATTTCTTTGACAAGGAAGTAATATTTTCAAAATCTGATGTGTACTCACTTAAAAGTGCAGTGCAAACTGGAATCCTCATCTATGATACCTGCTAAAAGGCTGGAAGCCTGTGAAAATGATTCTATTTAAAAGTTCATTTATCCATTTAATTAATAGCTATTTTTGAAAGTTAGATATTAATTTTAATGAAATGGTTCCATCTCCAGAAGAGAAACTGTAGCTTTTGATTCTGACAAACTAACAAGTAGCTTTATATAAATTGTTTTGAAATCTCACAGCCATAATAGTTGCCAGTTTCTACAGTTTTTAAGTGACAGTCAGGATTCTAACTCAGCTCTCTGTAGTTCTAGACATTGCCCCACATTAAATATATTTCCTAGATCTAGATCTGAAGAAACTAACATGTTATTCCAGCCCAAAGCATGTAACCCCTGAAGGAGATCCTTAGCACTTTCTTGTTCCACTGTAGTGACCAAGGTCATGTGTTCCAGGTAGTGCAGCTACAAATGGAGAGGCTGCTCTCAGCCTGGGTCCTCAAGTGACTGTATGGAGCAGAATCCCCTCTATGGGCCTGTGTTCAACATGTAATGTGATAAACAGCTTTTATGTTAAGCTACTGAGATCCAAGGATTGTTTATTACCACTGTATAGATGTTCTGTTCAAATACAATTTTAGCCCTAGCCAGTTTGGCTCAGTGGTTGGAGCGTTGGCCTGTGGACTGAAGGGTCCCAGGTTCAATTCTGGCCAAAGGCATGTACCTTGGTTGCAGGCTCAGCCCCAGTTGGGGTGCAAGCAACCAATGTGTCTTTCTCATATCGATCTCTCTCTCTCTGTCTTTCCCTCCGTTTCACTCTCTCTGAAAAACAATGGAAAAAATATCCTCAGGTGAGGATTAAAAAAAAAAAATCCCAAATACAATTTTATTTGCCTCTTCTCCAAGTGGTTCATCTTTGTCATCTTGGATCATCTTCTCCATTAGATCATCTCATTGGTTTATAAAAGCTCTTTGTTTATTAAGGATATGAACATTTTGTTACATAGGCTGCAATTTTTTTCTCCCTGTCTCTAATTTTGCTTACATTTTATTTTGCTGAACAGAAATAATTTTGCTTGTATTTTTCTGAACAGGAATTTAAAAATTTTATATAGCCAAACTTGTCAACCATGTTCTATGGCTTCTAGTTTTTATTTTTTTAATCATAAATAGAAAAGATCTCCACTTTCCAAGATCATAATTTTCTGATTGTCATTTACTGAATAGGCCATCATCTCCCCATAGGGGAGAAAAGCTATGCCTGGACTTAATAGTTTTCTATTTTTATGTCTGGTTTATACTAACTTATTATTGCGTTTTAATATATGTTCTGATATATGATAAAGCCAATTCCTCTATGTTTTTCTATTTCAAAGTATTATTGGCATTCATATGTATTCATTCTTCCAGATAAATTTTACAATTTGTCAAGTTCTAGAAAATAAAATGTGTTGGGATTCTATATGAAGTTATACTAAATGTATATATTGCTGAGGTTTCAATGAAGAAAATGGTGTGTATCTTCATTTATTCAGATCTCATTAAAATTTTATGTTTTTTCTTATGTATTTTTTTGTTAAATCTATTTTTAGGTATTATATATATATATATAATTATATAGGTATTAAATATATATATATATATTTGCTACTGTGAATATGTTTTCTGTTTATACCAGATTGAATTATTGTTAAATTGTATGGCTCTGTACTTAACTGGTAACAATGAATAGATAAACTTTAAAGACCTAAGAATATCATTTAAACTCATTCTTGTTTGTTAATTACATAGAACCTAGTTCTATGTAACAGACTATACATAATGTCTCAAAGATGAAAAAAATGTCTCTGGCCTGTACCAGACTAAAAACTGTGGTGTCCACCTGGACCCTCTCCCTCATCCACTGGGATGTTAGGCCATTGCCCTGTGGAAACTTTCCAGAACTTACTAAGAGGGTATTTTTCAAAGATGGTATTTTCTGTCTTACACTTGTCATCTGTATGAAGCTCCCAAAGAGGGATTCCTTGGTCTTTGCTCCTCCTCTGAAACTGCTTTGTGCTTTTATCTAGTGCCTCTGATTATAAATCACATAACTTAGAGCATTTCCTTCTGCACTGGCTGCCAGAGAGCATAGAATCAAATTTCCACTCACCTCTGACAAATGCATCAGATTCTCATGGATGCATTTGATTCTAAGCTTATTCCTGGCCTTGTCCAACTTTCTTTATTACTCTTATGCCTGTTTGTGTGTGTTTTTTTTTCATTTATTCTTATATTGTTACATCTTTTATATCTTTGTAATCCACTTTAAATGCCTTCTGGATCAAAACAGACTTGAAAATGCTTATATGAGTTTGTATCCTCCAATCCATGCTAGTTCATGAAATTGCATGATAAATATAATTACCACACTATTTGATATACAGAACTTTATTTTGAAATATAAAGAATAATACGTTCTTTGAAATTACAGATTGGTTCATACACAATAATCTTGGCCTTAATTTCTAAAATCAAACTCACCTTTAAAAACCTTCTAGTAAAATGATTGCACAATCATTACTAGGAAACAAATACTTCATGAGATTCGTCCTATTGCTTATTTTTATCTCTCCTATCATTTGAAATGTGTGTTTGCTCCGTTTTGTGCTTAATACTGAAAACAATTTCTCAGCAAAGATTTATTCCATTTCTATATTTCAAAGTTTTCCAGAAAAGAATTTTTAAGCTTATATAAATTTAAAATAACGTTTTTGTCACCTAGCATTAAAATGTGTAAAAGCAAAACAGAATGTTTTTTAACTGAAGGTATATTTCCAATTTAACATAGATAGGACAAATACAATTTATGGAAATGGTTTTTAGAAATATTTATATTTTAGTGAAGTATATTAAACAGCGTTCTTTGTGAGTTTAAAAAAAAATGTGAACAAAAACATTTTAGGAAGGAATTTGTAAAATACTAGAATAGATCTATAAATAGTTAAACTTGAAATAATCTTACTTTATGCAAATGAGAAAGGTGACTGAAGACATTAAAAAGCACTGGATTTATTTAACCAGAGTGTTCTGGGCATGAAGAATGACAGTGATGAGGCCACAAAATCGTCTGGGATCAGCAGCTGAGTGTTTTTACACAAGAGTCCCAAAGGGCAGGGATGCTCCTTGGGAAACAGCGGGGTGGATTAATTTTGACAATAACAAGCTTTTCACGAGGGACAGAAAGCATAATATGATCCAATCAGACCAAACTTTTGCCAAAAGCCTGAAGTCAGAAGCACAGCCATGTTCATCCTAGTGACCTCATTTCGACACAGAATCTTTCTAATACTTTCATTTAAAGAAATACAATTAATGGGTGAACTTTATGGAAAGTCTACAGAGTAAATTTCTTGTTTGAGCCCCTTTCTTGTTTAATAGTTTAGAGAAATCTGTAAAGATCTGCTTCTTTACTTTTTAGCTTCATCAGCCCACCCGGATGGAACATGAGGTCAACGATGTACACTTCAGGAGGGGGGAGGCCCCCAGTCACTCCCTTCTGAGATTCATTCATCAGCTTAACCTCATTCCAAGCTCTGCCATACTCCCCTCGGACCAGAGAGCAGCCGACGCCAATTTTATCAGCCAGAGCCTGAGGGAGAAAACACAAGATCAACCAAGAGTGAGGAGGGAGAAGGGTGGAGAAAAATTCTTAGTTGTAAGACCCACCTTGGTTGGAGGTGAAATATACAACTCTTGCAAAGAAGTGCTTAGAGAGGAGGCTGAAAAAAATGTGGAATATTGTGATAGGAGCCAATAAAATGTGATAAGTTCCCTTGTTCTTCAAGATCCTGTAGATTTAAAATCTCTGTGTAAGTCCTGCTGGGAAGTGACATTTTTCAGGCAGTTACACTGCATTGTATCAGTACAAGATTGATAATGTCATTGGAGAAAAGCTATTCCACAGGCTTTCAGCACTAGTGCATCTATCAATCTTTCCATGCTCCTAGGCTGCTCTCTGGGTGTGAATCACAATGGGATTGAATGGAGGGACCAAATGGGTGGGGACCTGTTTCTAGCCAATTTATTCTGTGTGATGTATGTAGACAGATGCTGTGGAGCAGGAAGCAAATTATGAGTGGTTGGTCCTTCTTGGGCTGCCTGCTGCCACCTCCTCAGGGTTTGCTTATGTTTTGGGGGAGTTGTCTCTTCAATTTGTCTGGATGTTCAGGTTATTTTAAAAAAATGCCCTTGAAATAGTCTAGAAACTTGTTAGCCACATTACAGTGGATAGGAGAGCTGGCTGAGACTGCATGGGTTTGAATTTCAGCTCAGCCACTTACTAGTTGTTGTCACCTCAAGCAAATGACTCAGCCTCTGTGTGCTTCCATTTCTTCACCTGTGAAACAGCAGTCTGACTACTCTCTTCATAGGTGGTTATGTAGGTGAAGTGAGTTAATACCTTTCAGGTGCTGAGAGCCGTGAATGCTGGCACAGAGTACTCAGTAAGTGTTCCTAGTACTAGAAGGAAAGACTTGTGTTGTTTCAACAATCTCTACATTCATTTATTAATGTAATTTATCTGAATGTATAGTGCTCTGTGGTATTGTGATTTCTATCTAGTAAGAAATATATTTTGGTCTTCATTAGGGTTTCTGGCACAGAGCTTCTAAAACCCTGGGAATTTTCCTAAGTGATGAGAATCATAAAGGTGTCTTTTGCTATGATAATGAGGTAACTTTGGGACGCACCTGGGGATGGGGGCTGGTTGCCAAGAGAATCGAGCACATGATTTGAGGTTTGGAACTTTCAGTCTTACTCCCCCCTCCCCTTACCTCTAAGGAGAGAAGGGGGACTGGAAGTTGAATGATCAATGGCCAATGATTTATTTAATCAATCATTCCTATGTAATGAAGCCTCCACAAAAACCCAAAAGGACAGGGTTTGGAGAGCTTCTGGGTTGGGGAACAGGTAGAGATCAGGGTAGTGGCCTTCCAGAGGAGGGCATGGGCGCTCCACACCCTCTCCCCATACCTTAACCTATATTCTTTTCTCCATTTGGCTGTTCCTAAGTTACACTCTTTTGTAATAAAATGGTAATCTGGTAAGTAAAATGTTTCTCTGAGTTCTGTGAGCAGCTCTTGCAAATTAATCAAACCCAAGGATGGGGTTGTTGGAACTTCCAGCCTATAGCTGGTTGGTCAGAAGCACAGGCGATTCCCTTGGCTTGTGCCTGGCATCTGAAGGGGGGTAGGGAGCAGTCTTATAAGACTGAGTCTTTATCCTGCAGGATTTGGCACTAGTTCCAGATAGACGGTGTCAGAATTCAGGTGACTTGTAGGACTAGCTGTTGTTGAACTGCTTAGACGCTGGAATGCCCTCTGTCTCGTGTTGGATTAGAACTAGAATAATTTTACACTCAGAGTCTAGTGGGATTGAAAGGCAAAAATAAACATAATTATCACTTACAAACTAACTTTTACTGATCTCTTACTCCATTCCAAGGCACTTTAAATCACCAAAGCAACCCTGTGAAATAGATACTATTGTATTTCTCACTTTATAGAGAGTAAAACAGAGCACAGATAATTTTCCCAAGGTCATAGCAGGTGGTGACTTAATGTGAGAGCCAGGGAATCTGTTTCAAGAGTCTGGTTTCTTAACCTCAGAATAATATTTCCTCCAGCTGAGATGAATCTGAAAGTCTCTATTTTCCTTGTGAAGTGAGAAACAAGGTTATTGCATAGAGGGAGAGGTAGGTAGAGAGATGGAAAGGCTTAGAAAGAAGGTCAGATGTGGGGCACAGTTGCTGAGGAAAATAGGAGAAGCCTGTCACTAGGAGCTGGAAAAGGGTGGCCAGGTTCCCCACATGTCCACACACGTTGGACATCCTGAATCAGCTATGACACTCCCCACTGTAATTTTCTGCAGCCTAAGTGTCATTAGTGGAAAGGACAGGCAATCAGATTGGTGGGCTGGTCAGGCAGTGGGGTGAAAAGATGGGGAGCAAAAAGTTGAGGGAAATTAGTGAGCAAATTATAAAGTCGGTGGACAGTTCATCCAGGCTGCCAAGGAGGCAAAAAGTAATAACAAAAAAAAGAGCCAAACAACTGGAAGAAAATGAAAAACAAATAATATATGTAAGAGGAGTGAAAGATTTAGGAGGGGTGGAAGGAAAAGAGACTTTATCAGTGAGTTAAGTTAGTGTTCAGGATTTCAGCAGTGGGCAAGGCCTGGGTAATTAAGTGCATGATTCAGTTGAGGCACGAGGATAAAGAATTCAGTTTGGCATAATGTGATAGACTGAATATTTGTCCCTACCCCCCAATTCATATGTTGAAGCTGTAACCCAATGTGATGGTATTTGGAGGTGGAGCCTTTAGGAGGTAATTAGGTTCAAATGAGGTCATAGGGGTGGAGTTCCCATGATGGGATTAGTGCCCTTATAAAAGGAGGAAGACTCGAGCACTCCTCTCTCTCTCTCTCTGGGCAAATGATTATACAGTAATGGCTGATGCAAACCAGGAGGTGGGCCCTCATCAGGCACTGAATCTCCTGGCACCTTGATATTGGATTTCTCAGCCTACAGAACTATGAGAAATTATGTTTATTGTTTAGGGCAGCCAGTCTATGGTATTCTGTTACAGAAGCCCAGGCAGACTAATACAGTGCCTATTAGACACTTAAGTGCATCTAGCTAGAGGGTAAAGAGATACATGAATCTGGAATCAGGAGAGATTTGTGGGACAGAGGAAAGGAACTGGAAACTTTAGGCACATAGGTGTATTTAAGGCCACATGAGAGGATGACCTCACCTTGTGAAGCACATAAAGGGAGAGAAAAGAACAGCCTGCTTCAGAACCTTGCAGGACCCCAACATTTAAGAGAAGGGTGGAGGAAAAGAGGTCTCCAAAGGTGACTGAGATGGAGTAGTAAGAGAGGACAAGTTACTAAGGAGAATGGTGTCAAAGAAAGAGAATGATTTATGATAAATTCTTTGATATACCCAGTAAGACAGACAATAGGTAACTATAATTCTTATTGAAAGGAAGCAAAAGCCAGACTGCAGTGAGTTGAGAAAAATGAGACGTATACCAAGGGGGGACAAGGCATTGAGATGACTCAGAATTTTAACCAGGAATGAGAACTGTCTATAGGTAGAAGCATTATGATAGGTTTTGATTCAGATGGGCATGGGTTCAAATTCCAGTTGTACCTCTGGTTGACCTCAGGTATATTTCTTCTCTAAATATCTGTTTTCTTATTTCTAAAACAACGAGTCACTTCACCTTGGCATTTTTGAGACTCTTCACACTTATATTTATCAAGTGCCTGGCATGTAGCTCAAAATGATGGTGGTCATGATAATAGGAGCTACTGTGGTGGTTGTAGATATTATGAGAAAAGAAAATACATTTATTCTTTAAGTATTGTATATTTAATTTTAGATTTTAAAAGAGAAACAGCTAATAGAAAGAGGGTAAAGAGAGGAGAGAAGAACTGATAGAGCAAGAAATCCAGGGAATTAGGAAAGACTGACATCTAGATTATAAACAGAATGAGCTATGAAGTAGAGGCAAGATACACGTGGTTGCAACAAGGCTGATAGGTATTTGGGAGAGGATAAGAATTTTATACATTCAGTCTATAGTTTAGAAACCATTTTCTTAGCTCCTATTATATTAGAGACACTGGATACAATGGAGAAAAACAAAGATCACCCTCCCCTTAAGCCTGGTCCTTTTTTAGTGTCCCTCACTTCAATGGACAATGCCATCCTTACCAGCTGCCTTGCTTAGAACCTAGAAATCATTTTGTTGTTCTCCTGGAATCTCTCACACCACACCTAAACAGTCACCAACTCCTTTCAGTTTTCTCTCTCAAATCTCCCTCTAAATTCACCCCTTCTTTCACATCCTGGACTGTGTTTATAGGTCACCCATACTTCTTGCTCCAGTAACCTTCCAGCTGGTTTTCCTGTCTCTAGTCTTGCCCCTGCTCTAATCCATTCCCCATTCTGTTGCCTGAAGGGTCTTTGGAAATCATGTTCCCCATTCATTTCCCCTTAACAACTTTCATTGGCTACTCACATGGTGCTTTATGATCTGGTCCTTTAGCCTCAGCCAGACTATGTAAAATAGTTTGTCTTTCTTCATCCAGACAAACTATTCTGCATCTTTCAAATGGCCCATTGACTCATACCTGTTATTTTGTATAAAATGTTTGCTTTGTTTAAAATACTCGTTTTCCTTCCTTACCTGTCGAAATCCTATGTTGCCTATAATATATCATTTTCTCTCTTGAAAGTCTCCCTGACACCACCTTAGAACTCACAAGTCTGGCTTCGGTACCACTTGCATACAGGAGCTGTGACTTTAGTGTCTACGTATTCCCAGACCCTAGAAGAGGTCTTGGCCCTTAGTTGGTATATGATAAATGCTAAATGAATATGCTTTTAGAAGTCTGCAACTATTTATGTACCGGTGTGTATGTATGTACATATACATATATATCTCAAATGTAAGTAAATCTAAGTGATAGGATTAATATTATCCAGTTAAATATTAGCAGCTGGCTCACTCCATTATGATCAAGAAAACATTTTTACCTAATGGTAAATGAGGCAAAACATCTTAAATACCTTGAAAAGCAAAGCTCGATGGTAAAAGATTCCTTTTTTGATTTGTCCTATTGGAACAACATTGGACTTAAGTTGAAATTTTAGTTCACTTATATGAAGTTCCCAGCTGAAATCCTGTAGTTTCTCTTTTGGAATTTTACCGCCCATTTTTTCTGCCACATACCTGTGTCAATTATATTGAGATCAAATCAATTAAGCTTAATATTCACTTTGGACACTTTGAGTATAACTATAAGTATAATTATATGTATAAAAACTATATTCCCTCTGATTTGGTTGTTTGCTTTACTTTTAAAAATGTACTTACTATTATTAGGTTAACATTCTGCTTACTATATTCAAAGTATCACATATAAACTGAAATTCTAACAATTTCATTCAACACATGGAAAGAAATGAATGCTAATTTTCCCAATACTTACAACAAGATACAGATAAGTATCACTAAATTTGTCTCAATGCAGTTTTAAAATTTTATCCTACTCTTGAAAAGTATTTGTAAATGTTTCAATCCAAGGCATTGTAATAACATGTGGTCCTTCTTTTAAGAAATTTAAACTCAGAGCCAGGACAAACACATAGAAATTTTCCCATTAGATCCCCAAATATTTTCAAATTTTATAATGTCTTTCTTTTAAATTTAATTATTTTTTAAATTTAGAGAAAGATGTGGCGTTTACACAACACTGAAGTTAGAGGAGAGAGGAAGGGGCACAAAGGGAAATAAATACTGTAACAGCTGAAGAGGTGGGATGGATGTGGTATATTTTGCCTGTGGATTTCTCTTAATATTAGGCTCTCACTTAAGTAGTCCATGAATGCACCTGCAAAAATTCTCTGTAGACTAAGGCTACTACATCTTGGAATAAAGGCAGAATTGCATATTTTAAAGAAATAATTTTCCCTTTTTGTATGTGAACTGAGCAAAGAACAAAGGCAAAAAACAAGAGAAAGAATTGGGAGAGAAAGCTACTGACCTGACCCACGGTCCCACCTGGCCAGGTGCAATGTAACGTAGGCTTGCGGAAAGCCTGAGAAATCTCTGTGTCTCTGTCTTTGTGTGGGCTCAGGTTAAAAAAACAATTATTTGGGAATGATGCAAAGTATTCCTGATAGGAACAAGGCATGAGGAAACTTGATAAATGTTGAAGAGAGCTAAACCAGAGCTCTGCTTGAGCCATCATTTCTCAAGGACATCAGGAAAACTTCCGTAGCCAAAAACGTTCCCTTCCAGGGCTGGCTGATAAGAAGTCAGTGATCTGGCACCTGTGTTTCTTGCAGTTGTCACATCCAGGCTTGATGACTGCTGCTCACTTCTACTTGGAGTAGACATGAGCTCCCATGGAGACCTCAGCTGCTGCACAATCCAGTAGCTCACCTATCGGTGGGTGTCAGTCAAGAAGGATAACTATCCTCCGCTTCTGGCGATTCCTAATCCCTACGGCTACCAAGTTAGGTTCTCAGCTTCTCTTAGTGGAACCAGATTAAACACTCCAATTTAGAAGGTAACTTGACTGGGTTATGCAGAGCGCTGAGCCTGCCCAAACATTTTAGAATACTCACACTCCCCCTTTAGAGCAATGTGAAACAGATAATACAAAAATAGGGGATGGTTCTTTGTATTAGAAAATGACCTGTGGGTTTATAAATAATTACAATAGAATTTCTTTAAGTTGTGAGCACCCCATATACCCAAGGAATGATTTAATTTTCAAAATTTTGATTCATTCATAACTCCTTCAAAATCACATTGAAAGATGCTTTTCATGGTTTAGCTGAAAAAAATGACAGGCACTTTTGGCCTGTTTTTAGTTTTATTTTATTTATTTATTTATTTATTTTAGTAAAGCACAGACAGCATGTACACAGACATTTTTCTTTAAGTAATTTCCAGCTACTAGTTCTGATTCTTGGCAGAAATCTGGTCTAAAATAGAAATTGAGAACCCCCCCCCCC